TGAAAGCTTTTTAAGTCGTTGGTTAATTTGGGTATTCTGACGTTTATCTGGAGGGACTGGTGAAAACAGCCGGTGTCCCCCCAGAGATTCGAACTCAGTGTCTCCCAAATACGAGTGTATAGACTTAATCTGTACATTCACGCTGCTTGGTGCAGAATGAATGCATGCGCAGAAGCAGTAACCGTTCTGATTTGCGTTCAGGAAGCAATGGGCTAGAGCCTTGGCCTGCACGTTGGTTATCCTGACTGGCGTTTTGAATGGTTTTACCGTGCCCCTCTGTACCACCCTGTGACAGTACCTCAAATTATTCCACAAACGCTTCCTTCTCTATCTTCCTCAATTTACTAATGCTACCATTCACCATCATGTAGTCTAATCTGCTGACTGCGTCGTTAAGTTTTTTTTTCCTTGGCACTACAGCCCCAGTGGGCCTAGGCCTATCTCCATGAACTTCTCCGTTCACTTCGATTTCTCTAGAACTTACACAATCGGTAGGACTCCTTGGGCGGGTCATCAGCTCGTCGCAAGGCCTCTACCTGTACACAAACACAGAAAAACGCACACACACACACACACACACAAACTAAACATCCATGCCCTGAGTAGGATTCGAACCCACGGTCCCGGTTTCCAAGCGATCGAAGACAGTACATGCGCGTCGTTAAGTATACCAAAGAATAATTCATCGTAGCTGCATGTCTAGCCCATCAGAGACTCATAGAATCCGGAACATACTTTGTGACCTACATCAATCACAAAGGTCTGGGTTAAAGGTAAAAAGAGCTAAGTTGTCCCTGTGCTTAACTAATTAAGCACTACACCATGAAGACGTGTGGGGAGTGGATGTATAGATCCACATTTTCTTGATCTCGGCAATAGTTGGAGGTGAGTCTGGGTTGCGTCATATTATCTTCAACCTTAGATCCAAATATTTTCCAAAGTACTTCCGTTAAAAAATTCTATCAGCATCCTCGTAGTTTCCGAACATAACAGATTATAATGAAAGTTCGTTAACCGTGCGTCCAATTCCTAAGATGCAGAGCTACCCGTTTTCGGCTATCTGCGACTGTTTACCCAATATACGTGTGTTCACTGCTGTCTTCCATATCCAGAAGCCATGTCTACACCCAGAACGAGAAATCGTGTTATACTGTGGAGACAAGCTAAGCATGTAACAGGCTGAAGGTTCTGTGCTGACAAAGAATTTGAGGAAAATCATGACATCCTCTAAGCCATTAAATTTACTTTATTACGAATAACCAGTGTCTTCGTGGGAAGGTTATGACCCTCTCAGCATCTAGACCATTCAGTACCGAATGGTAGGATGAATGATGAATTATAAAGGATTTGGATGGAATTGGTCGTGACGTAATCAAGGTACTGTCCCAGCAGTTGCCCAGTGGGACTGAGGAGAACTGGGAGAAATCTTATGTAGGACAGCCGGTGTCCTAACTGAGGTTCAAACCGATCACTCACCAACGCACCTTGTGTCATCACTGTTGATGTTATGATAAGTTACACACTTAGTCACTGCCGTTGTGTTACTTGTCAGTGTTTCCTTAATTCATTACGTCTTATCGGCGAGTGGAACGTCTGAAGTGAGTTATCTGTGATGTTAATTCAAAATGTCGAATAGGATTATCACGTTTGCTCCTGTGGGTTCCGAAGGTCACGGAGTTTAGTCAAGTAACGCTCAATAAAACAGTTTGTAAATCTTATTAAAAATGATAATTATATCAATTTAATGTAAATTATTAGTTCACAGTTTACGTGTCATTCTGTATTTTATGGGTTATTTGCGACGTTTTTAGCAGCTGGACTACATACTACTGGACTACTACTACTACTACTACTACTACTACATAATAGGATGACGCATGAAAGGTGAGATAACTCAGTTGGTATAGCGACGGACTATGGGCTGGACAGACAGGATTTGATTTCCGGCAGTTGCAAGAGAATTTTATCTACACCACAACGTCAAGACAGACACTGGGGGTCCACCCAGCCTCCTACCTAATGGGTAACTGGTCTGTATCCCATGTGGTTTAAAGCAGCCAGGCCGTGAAGCTGACTACTCACCTCCCTCTGTTGCCGAGATCAAGAATAGTGGAGGTATACCTCAACTTTCCTGTACGTCTACATGACGTAAGCTTAATTAAACAATGAGACAACTTGTCCATTTACCTATCGTTATATATTTTATTATTTATTTTACCGGGCTGTCAGAATCTGGATTATATAGTGCCGAATAATAGGATGTTAAATGAATGATTAATTTAAACCTACCCCTTCGAGTATGAGGTCGTTTGTAACAATTCTTAACACAGTAATTTCTTAAGTTGAAGAGCTCATAGCTCCACATTCAACCGCCCAGGCTAGAGTATCACACCTGCGCGGCTGTCCGCAACCGCTTATTCAATATTATAACGTAGTATGAGCGTGACTATAGACGTGGTTTTGGATAATTTGACTTATTGACCACCTAAGGGTCTCAACTACAACTAACTACAGCACTATCGCTAATTTCCAGACTTTATTAAACATTGGTGCACACAGACTAGTATTCTCAGTCTATTATCGTCTACACTAGCCGTTTCCTGATAACAGCTCATAACTGTGGTTATTCCTGTGCTTCAGGGATCAAGCCCTCTCTGAACGGTGGCTCTCTTCCAACTGTACTATTCTTCAGAGTCAGAATAAGAGTTACTTTACGACTGGCGACTGTCTTGGCGACAAGCCTCTTGAATCCCACGACGAGATTTTTTTTTTCAACTGAATACTTGCTTCAATAGTCCTTATGAAACATCCTCTCTGACGGGAGGATGGGTGTGCCGACTGTCTAGAGAAAATGTGGGAGCCTCGACGTCTCACATTCCTGTGCGCCTTCACAGCCTATTACAGGGACTTTTTTTTTACCAGAAATTGGGGCAACCCAGAGACTTGCCGAAACCTATATATCCACAGTTCTTGTTCTGGACACTAGGTGGAGTTGAGAGGTCAGCTTCACGCCTCTGCCACTGTACCCCCGGGGAAAGAGCCCACGGTAGCCTTTGGATAGGAGGCTGGGTGAAACCTAGGACTGGTCTGGACACTGGAGTAGAGAAAAATATCTTGTCTCTGCTTGGAATTGTCGTCCATCCCGTAGCTGATCATGTCGCTATTCGCTCTTCAGTTGTTTCTGGTGTCCCTCCTGATTGCGATGTGTGAGTGTCGTTGAGTCCACAGTTCAGGGCTGCTGAAGTGTTTCGTATAGAAGTGAAGTAACTTTTGAGCTCTAACGGCATGTAGCTCCGTAGGTTTGGTACTGATGTTTCCGAGGAACATGCACCCTCCATCTCGAGATTGTAGAGAGAATTTTTTTAAAATTATTTCTTGCAATTTACAATCTACTCTACAAGGGAGCAATAAGTAAATATGTTGTAGGAAATCACTTGTGCGGAGTGATCATCCAGTGATGATTCTCCTGTGTAGTATGCTATGCATTATGTTGTTTGGTACGGCTACCCATCTTCATGACTGTGTTCTTTTAAGTCTGAGGGCCATTGTCGTTTTAGTCTTTGTCTGATGTTTAATGGGTTGCTTAGTTCAGTTACGCAAGTGTTTGATTTCTTCTGTGACGAATGGGATTTGAAGATCGTTGTGTAATGTGAAGTTCGAGACATACCATGGGGTGTTGGTTATGGAGCGCAGTACATTTGATTGTAGTCTTTGAATTATTTTGGTGTTCGAAGGCTTAGCGCACCCCCACAGTTGAACTCCGTACGTCCAAATCGGTTTCAATATACATTTGTAAATTAAATTCTTGTTTTCTAGGCTGACTTTGGATTTTCGTCCTAAGAGCCATGACATTTGTCGTACTTTTAGGTTTAGATGTTGGCGTTTTGTCTTGATATGCTTCTGCCAAGTTAGCTTCTGGTCTAGGTGTAGGCCGAGGTATTTTACTTCTGTCTGTATTGGGATTTGTAAATTATCGATTGTGAGTGGTGAGCGGTGTGTGCGCTTTGTTGTGAATGTTATCTGCGAAGATTTTGTTTGGTTTATCCTGATTTTCCATTTTTTGAACCATTCTTGTAGCAGGTCCAGATGGTGTTGAAGAAATTGCGATGCCATTGCCGGGTCACGGTCTGTTGCTAGGAGAGCAGTATCGTCTGCAAAGGTTGCTATTGTGGTGTTGTTGGTTGTTGGCAAATCTGCAGTGTATATTAGATATAAGAAAGGCCCAAGCACACTCCCTTGTGGTACTCCGGATTTTGTTAGTTTGTAGCTAGAATAGGCATTGTTGTATTTTACTTGAAAATACCTTTCTGAGATGTATGATTTTAACAGTAGATAGTATGGACTTGGCAATTTGTTCTTAATTTTGTGTAGTAATCCAGTATGGCAGACTTTATCAAAGGCCTGGGCGATATCTTTTCGATATATTGTTTCTCTTCTATACTTGTGGCAATTTTGTTGATTATTCTGTGAGTTTGGTGGATCGTAGAATGATGTTCTTTGAATCCAAACTGATAGGTGGGTATAATATCGTGGATTTCTGTATCGTGTCTAATTCTGTTCAGTAAAAGTTTTTCAAATATCTTCGAGGGAATAGGTAGCAGGCTAATGGGACGATAAGAGGTCACTTCGTTATTTGGTTTTCCAGGCTTTGGTATCATAACAATTTGAGCAAATTTCCATATCGGAAAGTAAGATAGCCTGTGCATGCTACTGAAGATTATTGTGAGTAGTACAGTTGCTTTCTATGGCAATTGTCTCAATATCTTTCCCGTGATTACGTCGTAGCCAGGTGCTTTGCATTGGTTCACTTTCTTAATCTGTTGCTTTACTTCTGTAGGTGAGAAGGCTTTGATTGGTAAAGACATTTGACATGGCGTATCTAGAGACTTCTCAATTTCGTTGTCATTATGATGATTAATAGAGTCGTGTGGTGTAAATACCAGAGAAAGATATTCAGCAAAACGTAGAGAGAAATGAAACAAGAACATTTATTCCAGAAATAATAATAGTAGTAAACATATTTATATAAATTAGTGTCATTTGTCAAAATTATGTGTGATTTGCTACTACAAATACTATATATGATGCCTTTACAATTAGCGGCATTTAAATACTGAATACACAGACTCCTTACACTGCTCCTTAATGAAAATAGTAAAAAGAAATAATTGAACGCCATAATAAATATAGTAGTGATAAATAATGGATACAATAAGAACGATATTTTAATCTTGTACAATCGGCTGTGCTCTCGCTGGGCTGTCGCCCTCGCCAGTGGCTGTGCTGTTTCCGTCGCAAGTCGCTGGGCCGTCGCCCTTGCCGGCGGCTAGCCTGTCGCACTTGCCGGTGGCTGTGCTCTCTCCGTCGCAAGTCGCTGTGCTGTCGCCCTTACCGGCGGCTAGCCTGTCGCACTTGCCGGTGGCTAGCCTGTCGCACTTGCCGGTGACTGTGCTGTCTCCGTCGCAAGTAGCTGTGCTGTCGCCCTTGCCGGCGGCTAGCCTGTCGCACTAGTCGGTGGCTGTGCTGTCTCCGTCGCAAGTCGCTGTTGCTGTCGCCCTTACCGGCGGCTAGCCTGTCGCACTTGCCGGTGGCTGTGCTGTCTCCGTCGCAAGTCGCTGTGCTGTCGCCCTTGCCGGCGGCTAGCCTGTCGCACTAGTCGGTGGCTGTGCTGTCTCCGTCACAAGTCGCTGTGCTGTCGCCCTCGCCGGTGGCTAGCCTGTCGCACTTGCCGGTGACTGTGCTGTCTCCGTCGCAAGTCGCTGGGCTGTCGCCCTCGCCGGTGGCTGTGCTGTCTCCGTCGCAAGTCGCTGTGCTGTCGCCCTCGCCGGTGGCTAGCCTGTCGCACTTGCCGGTGACTGTGCTGTCTCCGTCGCAAGTCGCTGGGCTGTCGCTCTCGCCGGTGGCTGTGCTGTTTCCGTCGCAGGTCGCTGTGCTGTTAGGGTCTTTCGAAGCGCCTGAAAGCTGAACATATCACAGTGCGTTCAGGAATGCCAAGCAACGACTGCCATGCAGACGTTGAAGACTTTATTTTGTGTGCTAAATTTACAGTAATCTTTACAGCGTTGTAATCATTTTATTTACCACTTGTGAGTGCGTAATAAATTTATTCATTGAATCGAGAACCCATAATTATTATTCACGCCAGTCAGGAAGACGTGACGCTCGGGTTTTAGTTTTCTATAAACTGGGATTGCTGAGATAAATGTGACTGAATTTTATGCAAATTATGTTCTTCCGATAGACAGTACTTACAGCTCTTAGACTGGTAATGCGATCCTCCATTTTCTTGCTTTGTTTCTTTACCTTCCTCATGTAATTCTTCTGACAGAGAGCGTCTTGCATGCTGGGAGGCTCGAATTCCTCATCAAGTTGTTCTCCTCGCTCCTGAGGACATTAAAACCAACCACAAGATAAGCTCATGTTCAGAAATAAAAGGATGAAAAAAAGAAAAATATCTCTGAATAAAGACAGGCAGAGTAAGTTATGGAACAAACCAGTGCTTCTGTAACAAGCAACAGTAGAAGTAAACAAAATAGCGTAGGGTATTTCAGTTAACTGTAAGACTTGAATGTTAATGTGCATTCCAAACTTGACTTCACCACTTTACAAGTCATTATAACCTCGTATTTTGCTCCATACAGAATATTACCGTTCTTACATGACGTAGACGTACTTACTTCTGTCAGGTTTTTAAGGATCTTCCTTAGTCTCCTGTTTTCCTTTTCAAGTTTCTTCATTTGTTTGTCAGTCTTTGGTACTCCCAGTTCCGTTTGTACCTGAAACCATCGCAGCCAATCAGAAAGTGGTCATGTTTGCAGACAGAGACATTAAAGAGAAAGGAAGAAGGAAATGGCACAACAAACGGCACATGCCGTCGCTTGAAGAATTCTTTGCCAAATTACTCTCCTCAGATTCTGTTTTCAGTGTTCGCAGGATGGTAACTGCACCCATTATATACACAAGTTTAGCTATCGCTATATGGTAACATTATTCTCCCGATGTGCTCCAAACCTTCCAGTTGAACTTAACAGTTTACTGAGAAAGCAGTTTCAATAGATTGTAGTATGTCTATGGCTACATGCCTAAGTAGGCACATCCACCTGAAAATATGTTACTGTTCGAGATCTCGATTGTTGCTTACTACAAAATGGCTAATGCATAAACTTGAGGGACGAAAGACACTAACTCCCTTTCATTGAGGATGTTGGAATGATGTTTACTATTATATTTTCTGAGCTCGCAATTGTTTGAGGTAATCATCCTGCTAGACGTATAATTTTGTTTTTCTCTCAGTTGGACGCAGATAAAAGAAAAATTGGACCATACATGCGACACTTGGTAGGAAGCCAGACAACAGACACATATATACAGGTTATGAAACATTGTTTGGGTACCATCATTTACAGTAATGGCGACGGTACAGATCTGAAAATGCTGTATCCTCCAAGCATTACGTAAATGGAACCTCTTCTTGAGTAATTAGAAATTTCTCAGAGTCAGTAATGAGACGATGAAGTTGATGTTGATAACGCAGGTAACCCACTTAAAGTTGCAAGCAGTATTAGTATGAGTTTTAAGATCCGTGCGCCATCTGATCACATGACCACTGAGAGACGAGTCCCGCACACTGGCCACAAGCTAAATTACATTTTGTTGTTACATCCTAACTATTTTCTTTTACTTTCTCCACAACAATCGGGAAGAGGCTCCCTGGACTGTTGCAATTCGAAACAATTTTCTGAACTTGTGACATCGAAGTTTACTAAGTCTCCTTGACCGGTAAAGGGGCTGTTCGGCCCGTCTTAAGGTTGTCCCTACCCAGAACTACGCAAGCTAAGATGAAACGCGAACATTTGTCATCCCTTCTATGCTGCGAACTAACAAACACTCACTGGATTGTTAGGAAACATAGCGCGCCTTAGCCTACACGGAGATTGTGATTATCCTGCATTGTCTGAACATAAATGTAAATATACGGACACAGGGGTCGAGGAGGTAGAAATCTTTGCAATAGGAAAGCAGTATGTGAGGTTTGCACGGAACTCATACACTTCTCCAGGAGCGATTCAATGCATTTCCCATCATCAGAATATTACATCCTCACAGCCAGCTTTCGTATTAACCTCCCAGCTACAAGCGCACTCACAGTGCATGGTGCAGTGGCTTACCTGCTCTGCACTTGCGTTCACGGGCCGTTCTTCTGTTGCTTGCGGATCCATTTCTTTCAGTTCAGGAGCCGGTAAACTCAGTGTCTGTCCGTTTTCGTCTCCTTCAGACACTGAGTTTTCTGCTCCCCCCTGAGTTTCCGCTGCACTCATCATGTCCGGTTCCACAGCGTCCTCACGGTTCAGCATTGAGCACTGCGCCTCTCCCTCGTGCAGAGTGTAGTCTGCATGGTCGCCCGTGCTACATGTCGCTGTGTGGCTGCCTTCGTTCCTGTAGACACCAAGCGGGGATGCATCACACAAATAGTACATGTAGATGTGTATTTAGTTGCTAGGGTCTCTTCCTACTCTAAACTCAGTAGTAACACCCAGTCTTACAGAACAGGTGAGAGTCAGTTTGGGAGGCTCTAGTTTCGGATGTCTGTCGGGATATTGGCTGTCCAGCCTGTGGGGTTTCATTGTTCTCCTTCGTCCTTCTATCAACATTCCTGAAATAGGCCTGGACCACTTCATTCGAGATGCTTCCAAACCTTCAATCACACTACAGTCTGCATGCTGAAGTAGCATCGGTAGATAACTAACGGAGGAGAAATTCAGTAACAACAAACGGATGTGTGGTCTGATTCAAAACGGTCTGCTGAGTAGTCACACTTTGTTACTGGATGGTGCGCATCATTATAATTTCATTGTATTGAGGAACACATGGGCAGATGGAACGACGTTACTGCTGGAACATATGGAGGCTCGACGTAAAGTGGAATGATGTAGCTCTCGCGTCTAATTCAATGGATGAGGCAATTTGTTTCGATGAACTGGCAGACATGAACAAGGAGAGGGAGTGCACCCACTAGTGGCTAAATACTCGGGGAACATGTACACTCTCATGCACGTACATGATAAAATCTGAGATGGAGTTCATAGTTGCTTTACTTACGCAGATTTATTTGAACGTTTCTCGTGCTGACTCTTATTGGATGAAGCAGAGAGTGGCTCTGATCTAATTGGCTGTACATCTACTGCCTAGACAGTCTGGTGGAGTTACTGAGCTAACCTATGCAAACTTCAGTGTTAAGAGGAATGAAATATCCGACAAAATTCTCTCATTCCTAACAATTAAGCCAAGAGAAGCTATACCCATATTTCAGAGTATGAAGTATTATATGCTTGTAATTTTGTAGCTGACATGAAACTTGTGGAGTGCTCTTGTCCGTCACATATCTTACACAGTACCAGTTCAGTTCATGCGAGCAGCCGATGTGCCTCATATCCTCATTTATCCATATATAGTGCCTCATGGATTTAAAACCCTTGTCAGATACGAGATGTACACTTACCTGTCCCTAACGCAGTTCCACTCGCCGCGTCGCTGTTCTGTTACCGTCACAGGTAGCTGTTCTGTCGCCGTTACAGGCGTCACAGGGCGCTGTTCTGTTGCCGTCATAGGTCGCTGTGCTGTCACCGCCACAGGCGTCACAGGGCGCTGGGCTGTCACCGTCACAGGTAGCTGTTCTGTCGCCGTTACAGGCGTCACAGGGCGCTGTTCTATTGCCGTCACAGGTGGCTGT